AACGCGGTCCAAGACCTGGGTATGATGGTAGAGGCAAGCGTGAGTTCGACAGGAGATCCGGTTCAGATAAGACTGGTGTGAAGTCCGTCGATAAGCGTGAAGGTGGCGGCTCTCACAACTGGGGTACCATCAAAGATGACTTGGATGACTTCCAAAAGACGGGTTCAGAAGGTGAAACTGGTGACGAGAAGCTTCCGGATGTTGCGGCCGCCGGCGACGGGCAACAGCCCGATGCGGAACGTACAGTGCCCGCCGAAGAGGAGCCTCGTGTGCTCACGTTGGATGAGTACAAGGCATTGCGCAACGCTCAGCGCACGGCTCCGCAGTACAATTTGCGTAAGGCTGGTGAAGGCGAGGACCTCAGTCAATGGAAGAACCTTGTTATGCTCGAGAAGAAGAAGGAGGGTGGAGAGGATGACGAGAGCGATGAAGAATATGATATGGCTGATTATCCGCAGCGTGTGGGTCGTCAGAAGCGTGTGCTGGGTATAGAGTTTACGTTCAGTGACGGAGCGCGGCGCGGCGGCACGGGCGGGCGCGGACGCGGCCGCGGGCGTGGGCGCGGGCGCGCGCCACCACGTGAAGAGCCGCAGCCCGAGGAGCGCCCGCTGCCGCGCAACCAGGTGGCGCCCCCCAAGGTTGACGACAGCAAGGATTTCCCCTCTCTCAGCTAGACTCACAGTGAGTCCTTTCTCCCCTTTCAAAAGTACTATAGAAATACAAATTAATATTGTATGTACCGTTATTTTTGAAGTAAATATACAAAATATTTACACATATGTGTATCTATTATAAATTTTATTTGATTGGAACATCGACTGTCTCCTTGTCCGAAGATGCCAGAATAGCTAACAGAATTTCTCAAATTCAGAAAGTTACTAATCATAACTGTTTTGCATGGGGTTTAATGGAGGGGGAGGATATTTCTAAGTTTTAAATTTGAATTCACATGGCTGCAGTAATGCATAAGAATCTATCATAACAGTAGCTTTCATCATAATGTAATCAACAGCTTTATGGTTAAACTTTTATGAGTTAACGTATTGATAAGATTTTTTAAACTGAGACAGTGACACACTAATGAATTAACTTGTCACAATTTAGTGTAGAACATTGTTAAGGAATAACCCTTGTTGCATTTGTATCATGAGTTTGCGTTGCTAGATGCATACTTTTGAAACTGTAAATAGTTATGTTTTAACAGATAAGGTTAAAAAGAACAAGGTTGATTTTTGTTGTTACACAAACTTCTTTTGAAAAATAAACATTTTGTATGTGTGAAATTTTTGATTATTTTTGTTTACTGCTGATGAAATGGCAATTGATACCATTTCCATTTAAAATGTACCTGTTAAATTTCCTCCCCCTAACATTTTCATGTTTTGTATTATTTCAAGGTCACCATTGGGGCTGTGAGTACATTTTACTCAAAAAGTAATAAATAGGTGCTTTACTAGCTTTGAAATAGTATATTAAATTGTCTTACGTCAATATATGTTTTTTGTGGACATATTTTTTCTTGAAACCATAAAACTTAATTTGCATTTCAAATGTAAGCAAAGAATTATTGATTCAGGTTATTAAATTTGAATAGTGTATTAAGCTACTGGTTCTCATAGCCATAGAATGTCAATTTCCATATATTTTTGATTATTTGTTTATGGGTAGTATATCAAAGGAGCACTACAAGTAACTGTATAGTGGCTATGATTTGTGGTTAACCACTATCATAACTCAAATAAATCAAACCACTGTATATAAGTAATATTGTATATTGACACATTTTATCACATTCACACAAAAACAAGTTGCTTAAAATTTATACAATAAAATATTTAAAAGCAATTAAATATTCAACACAATAGAACTATTACTTACAAAAATAAACATAAACTTCACTTCTCCAGTGTAAGCACAATAAATAATGTTTATTTACAATTAGAAACTTATACAACTTCATCTCCTAGAATCTAGGCTAGATAATATGTTTTATTTTAGAGCCACTGAAAATTTTGAGCAGGGTTCTAATCAGGGTATGAGTTTTTAAATAAGCAAGGAACATCTCTTACAGCAAAAGAAAATTACATCACATTCTTAACTTACAATTAATGTTATTATAACATTCATTTTGTGGCAGTTAAGCTGCACATATGTGGTACACTGTTAATGCATTTAAGCATATATATTTGATAGCTGACTAGGTAGTATTTGTAAATTGAAGATTTAGGTAGCGTCTGTTTCAAGCAATAAAGATAATTTTGTAATACTTGGTACTTAATACTTTATGAATTTAGTTTTACTTTTAGTTATATTCAGCCACAAATTATTGAATACATTCATGGACAGATTCATTGGTTGGAAGTACAACAAAACTATAAATTAGTGACAAAGCGTAATATCTAAAACACAGGACTTAAGCCCTGCTTCACAGCCACAGTATACACTACTTATAATTATAATAAAAGCATTAATAAAGTACAAACCTCATAAATACGTAAGTGGCTAGTTATACTGACAAATATCTAGACACATCTAAATACATTTTTATTACAATTAAATTTACTATCTTTGATTGTCTGTTAACTACCATAATTTCAATTGCCTATTATTTACATAGACCCTACAAGTTCATGAATAATTTACAATTACTGTATTTTATAAGTTCTTAAATCTAAATTTTTAGATGAAAACAGCACACATTTCACTACCAAACTTTACAATTGTTTGGAATTAGAAACTTTCTTCACGGCGTGTAAGTGGTCAAGTGTCCAGTCTTATTCTGAATCTAATAAAAATTGTATGTGCCTTAAAAATATACTTTGGCTAATTAAATAAACCACATGCAACATTATGATAATTTTATCCAGACATATTTTCAGTTAAACGATTTACAGCACTCATCACCATAGTAAGCTAATTAGCTCTGCCCCTCATCATTATAAGCTGAAGGAAACTTGGATTAACTATTATATATCAGAATGTCAAACTAGACAACTGATCATGGGTGCTGCTAAGCATTTTGGGATTCAAAATAACTTCAAATCTAAAAAGGCTACTTTTATTCAATACATGTTTTATATTATGATGTGGTTGGCCATGATTTTATTTTAAATGGTTCTTTTATATTAATTTATTACACATTTTGTTCAACATTTTTACTATACCACATTTCACCCTTAATTCATTACAAATTGATTGATGCAGTCTTATAAATAGGTAATTATGATGATCTAAGGTAGGGACTTATTGTGAGATAGCAGAGACCATCATAATTAGGGGCAAAACAATAAGGAAGGTGCAATATCCACAAAGCAATTTTCAACACATGTAAAATTGAACTGGGGACTATGCCAATGATTTCTCTTAAGGACAACATTTACCCATTGTATCCTACTTATTGATAACAATATCCTTGCCGGCTGCTGCTGAGTAACATTATCACTGTAAGAGCTCTGTTTTCACCAAGTCACTTATTCAGTGTGGTGAATACAGAAGAATCTTCTAAGTAATGCTTGACATGACATTCTTTGAAAAGTGTTGTATGACCAGCAGTGGATAATGATGCTGTCATAATAATTTAAAAAGTATATCTTCACCTTTGCTGATAGTGACTTGTGTGTATATACAGAACCATTAAAAATATCATCTCATATTTTTGGAATGGATATTGTTAAAAAATGTGTATTTTAAGATTTATTAAGAGTAATAGCATAATTTTTCTAATGGCTCTGAATATGTATACAACTTAAATTTATTTAAAAAAATTATGTGATATTTATGACAACAGTATAATATGTTGTTTTGTTAGTGATTCATATGAAAACAAATCATTGCTATGTACTAGATTTTAATACATAGTTGAAGTTGGTAAAAATTTTGTTGACTGTATTGTTAAACAAACATAAGTGATTAAAAAAATATTTGCCTTTCAAATTGCTTTGTGCATATTTGTCGCCATTTTACGTATTTATTTGTTAAATTTTTCTCTCTTTGTCTGTTTAGTATAATGTTTCAATCAATTTTGAACTTCGTGATGAGCTACAAACTATAAAACACTTTTCTCAAGTAGGTTGGTGAGGCAGCTACTACTTCTGCCGATAAAGCAAAGGAATGTGAGGGGTCCTTGGGGTTAGCCATGTAACATTCTATGATCCCTATGGAAAACTATTAAAATTAAGGAAATCATGTTCAATGCTTAATGCTGTTGTTTCATAATATGGTTAGTGTAGAGAACCATAAAACCTTTTTACAAGAAACAAGTCGTTCCATCTTAGTCCTTAGAGATGACAAACTGTATTTTGTATGGGCCACAGCATTCACTTACCATCACTTGGACTGTGTTCATTTGTCATCCTAATTCTATAAAAAATCTTTTTTACTGGAAATTAGGCATTCTATCTTAGTCCCTAAAGGACTTAATTAGTTCTTAATCAAAGATATTTACAGAAGTCTTGGCCACAACATATCCACTTACAATGAGGTAGACTGTGTACACGGTTGTGACCCTGATTACATTAAAAAAGAATCCTTTTCATCATCTTCGTCATCATGGGTTTGTATAGTGTAAATGATTGAAATGATTGTAGAAATCATGCTAAGTTATCCAGCATGACTTGTAAGCACTCTCACTTATGGCTATGGGTGTGAATCGTAGAAAGTCAACACGACTTGTCAACACTCAGTAATGGGTGAGAGCGGCGAGATCACTCGATGCCGAAGGTGTTGGTCTAGTCGACGGTGAGCAGCAGCGCAGGCGCGGGGTAGGGCATAGAAAGCCATGTTGGCCAAGCTAGTGGGGTTAGCTAACATGAGGTGGCAACACTTGAACGTTAGAGCGTCGCGCTCACTCGATGCTGAAGGTGTTGGTCTCCTCGATGGCAGCAGCAGCAGCTTCTCGTGCGGCAGCGCAATCGCGGGGTAGGGCGTGGAAAGCCATGTTGGCCAAGCTAGTGGGATTAGCCAACATAAGTTGGCAACACTTGAACGTTAGAGCGTCGCGCTCACTCGATGCCGAAGGTGTTGGTCTCCTCGACGGCCAGCAGCAGCTTCTCGTGCAGCAGCGCAGGCGCGGGGTAGGGCGGCAGGTCGAGGCGGTTGAAGCAGGTGTGCGCGCGCGGCAGCGACTCCACGCGGCCCCAGCGCTCGATGCAGAAGCGGCGCGGGCCCGTGGAGCCACGTAGCGCCGAGAAACCTTCGTACGGGATCGACGACGTGCCCGTCACGAACTGCACCAGGCGCAGCCGTTGCTCGTTTGTGAACCTGCACCAAGGAAAAATATACATATTAACTTTCATTTTTATTTAGGAAAAGATTGGGATTACTTTTGATTAAATTATAAAGAAAGATAATATAGAATACCCTTAATGAAGAACATGAATTAGAACAGCCTTAATAACTAATGGTGACTAAAGTGATAATGGGTCGACTGGACCGAGGACACTAAGTAGCAACGTATGACAACAATATAATGCTGCCGTATTTCGTATGGCGAGAGATTAGAAACAGAGATCCTTTTTCCTAGTAAAGAACTTCATTATGCCTCATGGAAGCAACATCCACATGTTGATGGATAAAACGCGTATAATAAAAATGTAGGTTGACACACTGGACCACCATATCCACACATGTAAGACTACTTAAATTTGTATTCTAATAAGTTAATTACGGCCACTAATTTATATTTTCAAATTATATTATATTCTTAAATATCCATTGTTTTACTTATGACGAGATCTCCATTAATTATAATCTATTTCATTATTGCATAGGTATCTAAATATTCGCGAATTTTAGATCTGTTTTTACGTTGTTTTTTTTTTATAAATACCTACAAATCAAATAGAGGACGAGTGAAAAATATTAGGTAATGGCCAAGACACAGGCGTAAATAATAACCTCATTTATCGACACAAAAACAGGAACGGATATCATAACTACGACGAGCTACTCAACTCACTCACTTCCGCCTTTAAAAAAAATTGTTATCGTCTATTTATCTAAAAATAAATCTGGTCCGGTAGAGAGTAAGTGAGTAATCTAATCTATATTTTGTTTTCGTTGATCGTGGTTGTTGTCGTAGAATATGTTATTACGCAATTCTTGAAGTTATTACTATGTATAACGTAATTTTCAAAATCTAGTTTTAGTAATTTAGAATTATTCAATTTGCCTGCGAAGCGTGACTGCATTTATGCGCTACTATATTTTTCTGAATTATATGAGCTTAAATACAATAAATTCTTGGTTTAGGGTTTTTAACATATATCTAGATGTTCACAATCGCTAAGAGATTATATTTCTACTTTTATTTAAAAAAAATACCTAGATTAAAGTATCTGTGGAGGTTTTCTTTTATTCATTTTGGTTTATTTAAGAGAAGCAATACTATGGGCACGAATAGCTATCACATAGTTCATTTTTTTATATAATAAAGTAGTGGTTCACCAATCTGCCTGTCCAGCGTGCTAAGTATGGGTTAAGAGAGTTTTGTGACAGTTGGCACATTCTTGGTAAGGCCTATGTCTAGCAGTGTACTTAAAAAGGCTATTGACGTAATGTGCATACTTTATTTAAGCTGATGATATGTTTTGACGTCTCGTATTCCGAGTCCGTAAGTTTACTACTGAACATGGGACATTTCCGAGATTGGTTATTGCAGCACCAAAGGACTCACACCATTTTAACTAGCAAATAAAGAATTTGAATTTACGTCTGCCGTCATTTATCGAAAGCCATGAGATCTTAGAAATTTACCCAGTCGTCTCTTACACCAACCACCACACGGCAATACTCTTACGGTGTTGTGGCAGTGTAACAATATCCACCATCCCATTTTTTTTCGTGGTAGAGCCATACTGCATTATTAATAAGTATAGATGTAGCACGTACGGGTCGCCTCGACCGGGGAGGTCTACACTCTCACAGAATACGAGCGTAAAATAGCAGCTTAACGCTGCTGTTTCGTATGGTGAGTGTAGAGAACCGGTGACCCTTTTTACTGGAAATGAGGCATTCCATCATAGTCCTCACAGGTGACAACGCATTTGCATTTTGATTCGTAATCGAGGATAGATGTAGATGCCTATGGGCCGCAGCAAGAAGTTACCATCAGGTGGACTGTGTGCTCGTTTGTCACACAATAAAAAAACCTTATATATCATTCCGTGGGTGTAAGGGGCGACAAAGGGAAACAAATCTGGAAAAGGGCAACAGCATCTTCCATACATCGACTAAAAATAATAAATTGCGGTTGCTAAACGTGGCAACTAGGCAAATATTACCCCTATGAGGCAATGTATGGGGAGGCCTATGTTTAGCAGTGGACTTTAATGGCTGTAACGGTAATTAAAAAGTGCGGTATTCGGATAACAAAGATAGTTCGTAATACTTCAAAAGATTCTGTTCTGTGGATTTATGCGCATTTTAATTCAAAAACTTATATGGAACTTTACAGATTTCATCACTTAATTTAGAAAGGAATTAGGATTTAGAAATTAGATTAGAAAAAGGAATTAGAATACTACCTTAATTAAACGCATTACAATTCTTACAATTATATTTATTTAATATTACCTAGTTAGTTTTATTTAATATAACTATTAAAATCATTTACAAAGTTATAAGTACTTTTATAGGATAGGGTTAGAAAGAGCACACAGTCATCTTCGATTACGAATCAAAATGCAGATGCGTTGTCACCCGTGGAGACTAAGATGAAATGCCTCATTTCCAGTAAAAAGGGTCTCCGGTTCTCTACACCCACCATACGAAACACGGCAGCGCTAAGCTGGTATTCTATGAGAGCGTGCTCCTTCCTCGGTCGAATTGACCCATTCGTGCAACAACCGCAAACAAATATCAGGATTAATTTGTTTTCTTATAACACCTAACCCTACAGAACTAACAAAGTAGCTGAGCACTACTAATATAACTGCAGCGTGGCTCTACCACGTATAATAAAAAAATTGCGTAAAGTAGAAAGGCAGTTGTTGTAGTTTTTACTCAGAAAACGCAGAACCTTGAACAGCAGAAGCAAAAAAAATTCTGGAATTTTCCTCCCTCCCTTCCACAATCGGACAACCGAACGCTCGGCGGGCCCTCATTCTCCCCCGTGTGATTGATATATGTATAAGGCATTCAAACCAAACGGTTTGATTCGTCGTTCGTAATGCGCAAGACTGGAATGATATGCCAGCGTCTCTTTCTCGGTTGCTAGATGGACGGGATTCGTCTGGATTCTCCAGACTCCCGACAAAATTCAAAATCCCCAGACAAACAGCTTTAAAGTTAACGTATGCCTTTGATCTAATAAAAGCTGAGTTAGTACTTAGATTGAACTTTGGAGTGAATTATTTGAATTTTTAAATATTTTCTGAATACTACTTAAGGATCCAAATTGGTGAACTTTAGTAAAGTTCAATGCCAAATACATGTGGTAACCTAAAAATAAGGTGTAAATTATAAAAAATAAAAAAAAAACCAAAAAGAGAGGAAAAATTTTTTTTTTTTTTTAGCAAAAACGTACTTAAATTAGTTTTGTTTAAAGTACTTTATGTAGCCTCCTTTAAAAAAATGACTATTTTTCATATTTATTTCTCCCTATAACAAAATGCCGACATTTACAGGACTTGTTCAGATAGTTTTGTCTTTCGATCTGGCAAATCTAGTTTCTTTAAGTGAATGTGTGTTCGAGGCAAGAGTATAGTAATTGCTCCGAGTCTGGAAGTTGATCCTTGTGAAATTTGTGTTTTTAAACTGCCCCCACGATACAGGAGAAAATCCTAGTGCGGAGGTTACGTTTAAAAAAAACATTTAATAGTATATTTAGTAGTTAATATATAAGGCCCTCATAAGTATATATTTTTTGGCTATATCTACAACGTCAGATAAAGCCAATAGGCAGTTATAAAATAATAGTAATAATTTGCCATCATAAAGGTTTTGTGCCACATTAAGTATACGCATTTTTCGATCATGTTTGTCTCAAGCACCAAAAAGTTGCCTTTAATTATTCAAAGGTGGAAAGCTACAGAGAGATATTTTTATGTTCTTTTGTTCAGTCAGTGTGTTTTATCATATTCGGCTAAATCATCGTTTACGTTTCCCATCAGATAGGATAGCAGTGGGGCCTAAGATTACAAACAGTGAAAAAGCAGAGGACGCAAGAGATAAGAGTTACCTGTCGATGGCCTGCCAGAACCAGATGATGACAGGATGTGCGTCGTGATATCCGCCGCGGTACTCCGTGTTGTCGCGCCAGTCGGCCACGTCCAGCTCCGGTGCGCCCGCTATCACCAGCTCCAGCTCGCGCGCATCGAATGCCGCCACTAGCCGCGGATCCACCACCTAACATCAAGTTTTAATTAAATAACAGTTACAAGTGTATTTACGTATAGTAGAGGTGTGTGACGGCACAATATATTTTCTTATACCAAAAAATAAAAATAGCGACTAGCCAAATCCCATAAGGCAGTCAATTTTAACAGCCTTGCGTAGTTAAAACCTAATTGTATTTTTTGTGCCGTTAACGCTATTAGAAAACTATAAAAATGAATGAGAATCACATATCTCAACGACAGTCAACCTTGCTAATCCCAAAGGCGGCTTTAAACCTAAATACGTTACAACTAACAGTTTACATTAGCGGTGACAAAGCGCCGTTAGAATCTATAATACCATTTTGTTTCGTGTATGTTTAATTTTTAAAATCGACTAAGCAATATATTTTTAACAAGTTTTAATCTGGAAAGATTTTGAAGTTTCCGATAGATGACCAGTACAAATATATAGTATTTTCTTTATTTATAATACCCAGACCGACGTCGAAGGGCGAGAGATATATTTGTCGGTACTTCCGACAAATCCTTGAGTGGGAATGATCTGGACAGGAAGGTCTATGAACTAAAACAACCTGGTAAAGGAGAACGGTGAGAAGCAGTTCTCAACAGGGCTCACGCTTCCCCTCATTTTGACTAATTGTTTACAACATGGTCATAATAGAAATAAAATTATTAATATGTAGAGAATTGTATCAAATTGTGTTATTGCATGATTAAGATATTCTAGTTAACGTTTTCATTAAACGTTTAGAAGTTGCATTAAATACGTTTTTATTAGCATATTACAGTACCTATAGAGCTATAAATGTGTTATAATGTTGTTTGTGCGCATTAAAGGAAAATTAAAAATAGCATCGTAGAAAACAAACAACATTGATAACTGCGTGACTGCGTATAATTTGCGTGTGTTCGTCAACGATGTAGGTATTGTTAAGAGGTAATTTGTGAGCTCAATGTTTTGTATTTGTGTTTTCAATGTATTATCCATAATTTGCAGTACCTATGTGCCAAATGTGTGTTGGAAACTGATGCTGAAAGTTACAATAATATCACGTGTGAATTTATAACACTGCTTGAAGTGGTCAAAAAGTGGAAAGAATGTACTTATTATGATTTATAATATAGATACTAATTTATTTCAGTTTTTCACTTTATGTTTTTAATTTTAATGTGTGATCGTGGTCGCTGCAGTTACACATTTTGAAACTATTTGACATATTAGACAAGTTGTGACTTGGAAAGCTGGACACTACTTAAATTTTAATAGTACTCGAGTAACTTGAATAATCCCCGCTGGCATCACTTACTAAAGGTGCATTTGAATAATACGTCTTAAGAAATGTGCATGTCTGAGAAATTGAAATTCGCCGAGGCGCCACTGGCTTCGTGATTTTTTTGAACTTCTCGCTAAGAAAATTGAAAATGTTCAAAAATCGGGCAGTTATTGTTTTTATCTCGTTTTTCGAAAATTGAGTTTTCATCAAATCTTGACGTTGAAAATTTTAAGATGGCTTGTGACCTCACAGGAAGCCACCCTGACAATTTTTCGATGGTGTGTGTGTGTGTATGTATGAGTGCGCGTAGGTGCGCGTGCGTGCGTATACGGGCGCGCGCGCGCGTGTGTGTGCGCGTGCGTCCGTGCGTGTGTGTGTGTGTGTGTGTGTGTGTGTGTGTGTGTGTGTGTGTGTGTGTGTGTGTATGTATGTATGTATGTGCGCGTGTGTATGAGTGAACTCACCTCGTGGAAGCCGCGCACGAGCCACTCGGTCTGTGCGGCGACGCCCCGCTGCACGCGCCAGCGCACGACGCGCTCAAGGTACTCGTTGCGGTTGCGCTCGGTGACGGGCAGGTCGCGGCCGCCCGGCTTCAGCTCGCGCTCCAGCACGCGCCCGTCAGCCAGCCGCTCCGACACCGCGAACGTCAGTTCCAGCGACGACACGCAGCGCGCCGACTGCACGCACACAACCTCACAGCGTTACTAATACGCTTCTCAGACGCTCGCTTTTGAAGTAAAACGTCTTAAAATCACACACCATGCAGGGTCGCCATGTAATGTACAAGGCGTCAATGAGAGGCGTTTTGATCTAACTTGGACTTTAATAATACTACTCTCTTATTCTAAACATAACACTAATACTATATTGTCCTGGAGGCAGAAAAGTGTAGTAAGTAAAGCAGAACAGTTAGTAGTTAGTTTAGTTCCGTTCGAAATTTTCTTTGATTCGAAATTCCGCATGACTGCCTTTACATTCAGAATACCGCACGGAAAAAAGCCATCACACGTTCTTAAATTCCGTACGGAACGCACCCAGTGTGCATCGCACGACCGAAACGAGGAGGCGTTTATGTACGTGTTTATATGTAATCTCATAATATGTGTATCTCTTCATAGCAATTCCTGTTATTTTGTTTAATAATTCATCCCATATGGATGGGCTCGTTGATCGTAATTTGGCCCCTTTAACTTAATATTGACTACCTTGCAGTCTTAGAATGTTAAGGGAATGCACCCAGTAACGATAGGGATCTTCTTAGCTAGATACAGCAACAATGCAATCGCAAGCAGAAAATCGTCGTCCATATTAGCTGGCAGAATGTCTGGACTCAAGGGCTAGCGTCTCTCTGAGCCTTGTTATTCCGACGGAAAATAAACGTACATATCTATGGGTGTGATGTATTTACGGTATCCAGAATCGATATTTCGAAACGATTTTCCGAAACGGAATTCAGACTGTATGTGGTCGAAATGTCTATGTCAGCGAGTCGCTCGCACATTTCAACCTCCACCCCTTCCCCCTTCCCGATATTTTAACTTATTATAAGCCAGTGTTTGAATACCCACCACTGCCCCACCTGCTCGCACTGTTACCGCGAATGCATGAATTAGGCTGTGATTCATGTGATCTTCAGTATACAATCTCCAATATTATACAAAATCTCCAGACCAACAAACATGTAGCTAATTTTAGCGTACCATCCTATTTTGAATGCAAAAATTATAAGGTAAATGCCACACGGTCCGTCGATTGGAGCAAGCGCACAATTACTTACACGCTTAATTATTTTGCAACTTAATACAGTGAAATTAAATGTAAAATACATAATATTATATAGGGACGTAAAAGTTAAATTGATACCTATTGTGGACTCTTAATAAGAGATTGATTTTTAAATGAAATAATGTTTAGTCTTTTTGAGTAGCTAAGTATATTATAAAACATACATACATAGCATCACGCCTTTATCCCCTAGGCGGAAGGAGCTAATCGAATGACGTTTAGCCCAAAAATATGGGTTTAGAAAGTTCTAAAAGTAGCGATAGTCCATCGCTTACATAACCACAAACGCAATACCCCATTAGTCGCATTTTACGACATGGTAAACAAGAAACACATTTGGAACAATATTTTTGTTGTAAGTTTGACATTAACATGAAACCTACATGGTATATAATACAATAGACTTGAAAAATGAAAAGTAAAATTTTACTCATTCATTATTGCCCATAAGAAGTGCCGCAAACGTACTTTTAGGTAAATGCAATAGTACTGTCAGAGATATTAAGGTCGGTAGATATCTATCCAAGACGGAACAACTGATAACATAAAACAAAGACATATCAGAGTTTATTACTGAACCCTGAAAAGTTCACGCATCCATATTTTATTTCATACGAGGGATACGTGCCATAATTAAGTTTGGCAAGCGGGTTTTTATCAGAAAGATGGCACTGCGCATCTCATAACACACGATAAACTCACCTGCAACCAGCGCAGAGAAGCGGCGAACTGCGCGTCCAAAGCATCGACGTCCTCGAGCGCGGGGGGGAGCCTCAGCAGCGCGCGGTACAGCGCCCGCGTGAACCAAGCTTCCAGCAGGTACCCGTGCACCAGAGCTAGGCCCAGAACGCGTCCTGAGAACCGGAACCTAGTACAAATTTAAATAATTTATGGTAGTTTTATTAGCGCATTGATATTTTTATGGTGGCGGTGTTATAGAATTCATCAGCACAATTAATCTGTTAAAGAGTCGCCTAAGAGTGATGTCATTACTTATGGCATTCGCTATAATTGTGATAATATATATATATATATATATATATATATATATATATATATATATATATATATATATACGTGGTGACTGCCTCGTTACTCTAGTGGTTGCAGTAGTGCGACTGCTGATCATGAGGTCCTGGGTTCGAATCCCGGGTCGGGTCAAAAAATTAATTATTGAGTTTTTCCATCAAGAATTTCTCAGTAGTTGCCCGGAGTCAGGAAGTAGGCGATGTCTCACCCCCGTGCCTCGGAAAGCACGTAAAGCCGTTGGTCCTGCGCCTGATCTCTCTCCGGTCGTGTCGGTTTATCGTCCCATCGGATTATGAGAGTGAGGGAATAGAGAGTGCACCTGTGCTTGCGCATACACTTTAATCCTGTCCTGCGCCGATGGCTAGCCTCCGTTGAGGCAGGCCGCCGTGACCGGAATTCGGTCTGGAGGATATTATATACGTGGTGGAGCCACGCTGCAGCTTTATTATGGTTGTAACACGAATGGGTCGGCTCGAACGGGGAAGGACCACGCTCTCACAGAATACCAGCGTAAAATAGCAGCTTAATGATGCTGTGTTTTGTATGGTAAGTGTAGAGATCCGTAGACCCTTTTTTACTGGAAACGAGGCATTCCATCGTAGTCCTCATGGGTGACAACGCATCTGCGTTTTGATTCTTAATTGAGGATAAATGTAGATGTCTATGAGCCACAGCATCCACTTACCATCAGGTGGACTGTGTGCTCGTTTGTCTCCCTTATTCTGTAAAATAAATAAAATCGCTATCTTAAAAACTACCAGTAGGTCGGTTTTTTTACTCATGTACCAGTAGTATGTAAATATGCAGCACATGAAGAAGCGTGTACGCGGGGCGGAAACGCATGTACGCGCGGCGGAAAGTATGCTAGTATTTGTCTTCTTATCCGCATGCCATATAGGCATTTGTTTTAAACAACCAATAGAATTTCGTAATTCACACATCCCGTCTCCACTCAGCTTCATCACCACTGAGCGGAATGCGAGAATGTATCAAGTGCGGAAATGTATCATAGTTGTTTCGCGCGATCGAAGCGGAGATGTAATCTGACTGCGACGTATGCCTTTCATGTCAGAGCGCGCTAAACTGTGCGCTCGTCTCAACATCCAACGCCCCGACACACTCAGCTCAATTCCGCTCTAGCCAGCACAGATCCCAGTCTAGCCAGTACCACAGTACGCACCTGCGCACAGTTTCGGTGGATACACCCTAGCTGAAAAACATTTCGTCTCCGCTTCGGTGTAGTCCGGGCTTTAAGATATATCGAAAATATGGTTCAGTAAAAATTCGTATCTTTGTCTGTTTAAGAAGAAACTACAATTTATTTAGAGTAGTGTTTTGTTAAGCTGCCAGTTTTAAGACCAGTGACGATAAGTCTTAGATGCATAAAATCAGATAATCGCAAATTGTCTTTGAGGAGATACTAAGTTGCATATGCAGTAACTGAAGAGTGTTAGAGTCTGATGGTGATAATGCTACTATGTAGCGTATTTGTTAATAATAGCCGATACTGAAGAACCAAGGTTAAAAATTCCATTCGTACACATTGAGGTATTACTACTACGTAATAGTTCGATGTTCGTACAAGTATTTATTATGTTTTTATAACTTTTACTGGTCACAATACCCTTATTGGACCTTAGTTTTACTGTTAATTTGATACGAATAATCTAAAACAAAAACATATCCATTAATCAAAAGAAAAACACAAATTGGTAACGTAAGAGAATCTAAAATGAAATAAGGAGTGTCGTCACACGTTAATCCAGCAATATTGGGTTACCCATTATAAATAGAAAAAAATATACGCTCAGCTGTGAGTCGCGAGTGCGTAGTTACTGTTTGTTCGAAACTCGATATCAATGTAATTTGATCGCCGAAATACATGAATAAAATAAGGGTTTTTGGTTTATTAAAAACAGGGAAGTTAAAATGGTATTGTTTTAGTTTTCGTAGATCAGCTGAGTATTTTGTCCATCGTACATCTAAAGTTTCATAATAATTATGATACTATTAAAAGAATGTTAACAACACTTTTAACATAAGTAGCATTCCCGTTAACTACTTCAACAAAGTTTAAAATAGGTCCTAGATTATTTTAAAAGAGATCGTGATTTGGAATTTTATTTACGTAGCGCATAGGAATTTTCTTAGATTATAGTGGAAACAAAGTACCTTATATTTGTAACTAATTTTAATTAATGGAAGTTTTTCGTTAGCTACACTTACGATTAAAAATATATGAACGGTAGAAATATTTTTGTCCCAAATCGATACTTAGATATTTACGCCGACACAATCATGATTTTATCGCACGCAATCGACGGAAGTCATGTTAGGAATGACTTTTGGATATACAAAGTACTAGGGGAAATATAATGTCAAATGGCTTAGCAAGATCCTTCGTTATGCCGAAAATATTGCAGCATTAATTTTGAAATAAATATATGGTAAAGTTGAGGATTAATGTTAGTGATTATGTTAGACGAAAACACGATTTCGTAAAATTTTCTCGATAGAAAAAAAATCCAAAGTTACCTCCAAAATAAACAATAAACCGCTGTTATTCATAAAATACTTTATATATATCATGAAACTTTGCATACTAACTGAACTAACAATAAAGCAGTGCTTATGTTATTTACTTTTTTTAAATTCTTTAATCATTATTTTCACTGTAAAAAGAAATTACCTAAACTATCGGCGTCTTGAGCTTGATTCCCGTCGTTCCGTTAGTATCGCTTAGGCTTTTGAAGGGAGAAGTTGTGTCGCTTACGATCAGAATATACATTACGCAACAGTACGACGTAAAATTAAAATCGGAAATAACCGTGATAAAAATAAGAAGCGGCTGGCTTGGCTTTAAGAAACAGGCATAAATATGATAAACCTAATGAAATAAGTGTCTAACGACCTTTCTACTTACAGTATTAGTGATTACAAATATTTCGGTACATAGCATACGACGCGCGGGGAAGTGGGGGCGAAATTAGAATTTGAGCTGACTTACTCTAACCTCTTAAGACACAGAATAAATAATTCTTTATAGTATTGACTGGTATTGACAATTCCATTTGATGTATACCTACTCGTACGGTTTGGAAGAGATAAGTTCAGTTGACACGGGCCGTGCGGACTGTACTCAAAGCTGTAATTATACGGATTAATATGGTGCTTTAATTAATCTTTGATGTTCAAAGGAAGTTTGCAAGTAGTAGGTAATCTAAATGATAGAATCAGGCGTTACTTTACGGAAATTCATTATAATAAAGATATTAATATTTAATTCGCAACCATCCGCATAATTAAATACAATGATGTGTCTTACCTGGATTGAAGAGCACCTCCCGCCCTCCCTCAGTTGCGTGCACTAATCCCGTCACCACTAGTCCCGGCACCACCACTACAGGAAACCAACACCACTATTCCAGGAAATACACACCATCGAAGACAATACTTATTTTTCGATAAATTTGAAAAACATGCAACGACTCTTTTCTTGTTATTGTTAAGCCAAGGAAATTAAGGGAGCAATCTTGTTCCAATTCAAGCTTAAATTTAATTTTGTCATGGACTCTATTTATTTTATTAAGGAAAACATCCAGTTTTCTCTTTGTGCCAGTCCAGCAAATAATAATATAAGTAGTAATAGTATAAGATATTTTGGTTGACAACTATATTTTGTTTTTGGAAATTATCCATGAAAATGTCCGCCTTAAGTGGACTTAGAGGGGACCCCATAGCTAACCATTCTTTTTGTAGATAGAAACGGTTATTAAACTGGAAATAATTTTGTTTCATACAGAGAGAGGTTAAGTATTGTATTCGATGGTGTGTCTTTCCTGGAATAGTGGTGTTGGGAGTGGTGGTGCCGGGAGTAGTGGTGTTGGAAGTAGTGGTGCTGGGACTAGTGGTGACGAGATTAGTGCACGCAATTGAGGGAGGGCGGGAGGTGCTCTTCAATCCAGGTAAGACACATCATTGTATTTAATTAAGCGGATGGTTGCGAATTAAATATTAATATCTTTATAAGTAGGTAATCGATCTTCAACATACATATTTTAACGGATTAAATCTGTGAATTGCTTAGGAATTATTTATTAATATGAAAGTCAGATATTTAATGAAATTTTATTATAAGTGGTGAATTTTCTTTTATTACTATGTCATTCCTTAGTATTTTCATTTATAAAATGTTGCTATTTAAGTTATGTATCATGCAGAGAGATCCTGATTGACACTTGTCCTTCGCATGCCAGCAATTTCCTTGTTTGCAACAAAGTGAGCTCATGTTAAAAACAAATCAACCCTAATTGCCCTGCAGTAAAACGTTCATTACACGCCATTATCCCGTATTAATACGAGCAATATTTATACATATATTTGTTTGTTTGTAATAAAGTTTTTGAAAACGGCTTTAACTATTTGGATGAAATTTACGTGGTAGAGCCACGCTACAGCTATATGGCTTATGGTTGTAGCACGAATAGGTCGGCTCGACCGGGAACGGACTACGCTGACACAGAGTACTAGCGTAAAATAGCAGCTTAACGATGCTGCGTTTCGTATGATGAGTGTACAGAACCGGGGACCTTTCTTACCGGAAACGAGGCATTCCATCTTAGTCCTCAGTGGTAACAATTCATCTGCATTTTGATTCTTAATCGAAGATAAATGTAGATGCTTATAGGCCACAAAATCCACTTATAATTAGGTAGACTGTGTGCTCGTTTGTCACCCCATTCTATAAATAAAATTACAATGTAGGTTGTAATTGTCATTATATACATAGTAGCGCAAACGACTCTAACGCTGGGAAAAAATAAATTATTATAGACCAATGATTAAATGTTTTGTTTGCTGAGTTAAGTACATTTTTATGGCCCTGCCGCGCCGTGCGTACTTTATTATGGTATTAGGTAAATACGGATGTAAACAGATTGAACGGATTAAGATCTTTATTACTATTTTTTTCAGAAAATTATTCTTTTATCTATATACAATCTAAACTTTTGGATAATAAAAATAAATAATAAAAATATATGTACTTATAATATTATGGGTATTTATACGTAACTGGTTTTTCGGAAACGACCCCAGCGATTTAAATGTAATGATGTACTTTTTGTAACAATTATATTTTTTACAAACACCAAGTGAATCTCGATCGCCCAGGTAGGTATACGAAATTTGAACTCTGTTATAAATAAGTGTATTAGTAGTGCTGGCATGAGGTGTCAAATCTCAACAACAGCAACACTGCCAGTGTTACTGTTGATTTCCATACTTTTGCCGACGAATGACGACACATCTAACATAGTGAGTTTCGTTTTCACAGTGTAATGTCTTCTATTCCGTTAAACGACGTTTTTAATTAGTACTTCTCAGGTTCTTTAAAATTTTAAAGTGATTCACCTAAATCAGTCATCTATCACCACCTCTAAATTTCCTGACGCTTGCAAGAGCGCACAAGTAATTCCTCTCCCTAATAAGGCCCAATAAGCCTCACATTTTACCGACTTTCGCCTCATTTCCGTCCTTTCATTTCTATCTAAATTCCTATGGAAACGAATTTTTCACCAATTAAGTCTATATCTAAATAGAAATTGCCTTTTGAGTCCTCTTCAACCCGGTTTCCGGTTGGGTCATAGTACGACTACATCTCTGGTTAAAGTTACTGACGATATTCGACGAGGTATGTATAATAAACAGCTCACTGTGTTGGTATTATTAGATTTTAGCAATGCCTTCAATACCGTTGATGTTTATTATATTTTGCTAAGTCTGTTACGTTCTATTGACATATCTCCATCAGCGAAAAACCAAAGTCAAAGTTATCTAAGACGCCCACGGCAGCGTATTTCGCATTGAATTGAATTTTAATCTTGGTGTGGACTGCGAGCCTCAAGGTGGTGTGTTGTTTCCTTTACTCTTTGCTATTTTCTCACAAATCTCCCAAAAATATCTTTTCTCTATCACATGTATGCAGACGATCTTCAAGTGTTTACGCAGTCAACTCTTGAGGACTTGGCTACCGCAGTTTCTAGCATCAATGCTGACTTGGCGGCTATTAACGAATGGAGTAAATGCCATTGTAAGTTTCAGGCCATCATTGTTGGCGGTGCTAGCATGATTTCAAGACTTGACTGGAATAACTTTCCCTCGGTGATATTGAATGGTGTTGTAATAACTTAAAGTACTGCCGTTAAAAAAAACTTTGGTGTCCACTTCGATGCCACTTTCTCGTGGTCTCATCAATTGAAGGAATTTAGCAGAAAGACCTGCTGCTATGTGTTTACTGAGGCTTTTACGTTTGCTTCTTCCCATTCATACTATTCTGAATTATGCGGGTGAAAGCTATCTTGATTTAACTGAAGATCGACAAAACAATCTTGAGCATATTCCAAAATCTAGCTATTAGGTTCATATTTGGTTTAGGCAAATATGACCATGTTTCCGAATTTCGTTTAAAGCTCAAGTGGTTACCCATACGCCTTCGCCGGAATCTACAAATTGTTTCTCTTCTGTAATAATATACAGTATATTATTCAATCCAATGACTCCTACCTATCTAAAGGAAAACTTTAAGTTTCTTGGTCATGATAGACCGGATACAGTAGAACTCTAGTCAGCCGACTCCGGAGAGATTACACTCGCGCCACTTTCCTGTCACACTAAATACTTTAAGAATTCCTTCACTGTCAAGGCCATCAGCTTATGGAATGATTTTCCTCTGCAAATTCGTCGTACGAAAACACTAGATGAGTTTAAGACTGGCGTCAAAAATCACTACCTAACTCTGCAATAATCACTGATCATCATTTGCGACATTTAATTTTTGTATCCTGTTTTTATTAATTTATGTAAATTTTATGTTTATTTCCTTATTTAATCATATGTATATCTATCATATTTTTATATAATTATAAGTGTATTAAATACTTTGTCCTTATGTATCGGTTTAGTTTATTTAGGTATTAGTATGTAGGTTTATTATAATATACACCACCTCCCACTATACAATAGTATAATTTTCTCCTAATCTTAAGTTTGTCTGGAAGAGATTGCTTTTCAGCGATAAGACAGTCTTATTGTACCTACCTCTTAAGTTTCTGTAGTTAATCATTTTTGTGGTGTACAATAAAGTATGTGATGATGGTATGTGGATACTGTGCACCATATACATCTACATTTATCCTCTATTGAAAATCAAATTGCAAATGCGTTATCACCCTCAAGACTTAGATGGAATGCCTCGTAAGTAAAAAGGTTCTCCTGTTCTCTACACTCACCATATGAAACAGCAATATTGAGCTGCTATTTTACGCTGCTATTCTGTGAGAGCGTGTTCCTTCCCCGGTCGAGCCGACCCATTAGTGCTACAACTATACTACTAATATAACTGCAGCATGGCTATACCACGTGCTGTTTAGTTTTGGATGTAAAGCGAGATAGAGACCAATGTGAGTGGACCCTGATATTAATCTGTGGACCGTATCTCAATACCATAAACTCTTTAAAATACCATAATTTTGTTTCCTTAAAGTAACTACATACATACGTATGCTTTTTCAATTCAGTGTTGTGATTTTATTTGCTTATTAAGCTTGTTTTACCTCGTCACTTATGTTACAATTTTAAAAGTTAAGTTTGATTGCTTTTTATTTTATTTTTATAACACTGCAAGTACTTTGGACTTATTTCTCGTGTCGGCGCTAGTCTTAATCTGTTAGTGTGTCGTAAACCTAGGCTCGGCCCTATATGACTACCATAACCACTTTAAAATATTTTAAAATAATATTTTTCATCACAGATCATTAATCTATGACCTGTGATCATACAGACGGACAGAAATATTTATGATATACAGTTATTTTAGAATTTTGCCGCCTTGGCCTAAATCGGCTACTACCTGAGTCTTACTTTTATGGTGATAACACCAATACGCTGTTTGCAAAATGCAGAATGACGTTTGCTTGAAGCCTTCGTTCATGATCATTTTATAAAATAATCAACACTCGTCTTATTATTTGAAAGTATGAGCATAGTTTTCTCCCTGCAGGTACCACCATTTATAGCATGTTTGGTGGCAAAGAAAACATCATGAGGGAGCATTTATGTCTGAGAAATTATGAAACATTTCAAGAATATGTGAAAGCTGTTTGAATTGCGGCAGCTTGGCTCTCCTAAAATTCTCCCAAAACCTCTCAGGAACGAAAAATCTGTGGCTAGAGATGGGACGTATTTTACAACATGAAACAAAACCCTGTAGTTCTCGTTAAGTGGGTTATCAGAATCAGTATTCAAACGTATGCAAATAACTTTACTTGAAAAAACTTGACCATATTTTTATAATTTATTTAAAAAAATTGTTTGCAAATTGAATATGATAATAAAACCTCTATATTGGCCGGGGACTAAATTGTCTAAGAACCTCAGTCAGACCAATTAGTACGTCAAAATTTCTTAAATAAAGTGAATTCTATACTTTTTCATACTAATTCAGACAACTCACTTAACGGGAATTACAAGGTTTTTGTTAGATGTTGTACTGCTACTTCTTAATTTATTTATTATTGATGGATGATAGACTTATGTTCTTATTCTATTTTTCTTCTTCGTCGGGTCTTAAAGTACCACTGCTGGATATGGGCCAGTCCCGTTAGCGAGGTTTTACCTTAAGGTGAATGTAAAATGTAAATTTTCATACAAAAAGCGATAGCTTGGGGTTCGTGACAGTAAAAACTCCCGATTGAATTACCAAAAGTGACACTTTAATTACCAAACACCAATTACAACTTAAAACACACAAATAATAAAACACGATTCGCAGTTATGTATATCGCTTCGAAGTATTCGCTTGTATTGCCAATTCAATACTGACTTGGGTCGCGGTCAATACCAGTCTTATATAAGACCTTTTCTACTGAAACCTCTAAAAAGTTCGAGTACATACCGGTCCCGACTGACTAGGTATAGAAAGTTCTAGTAAGGAATTTTCTAGAAAGCTCGCCTAGTTCTGCTACTCGATACTACATGGCGCTAGTGAGAAAGCTGTAGTATGGAATCTCCTAGTTCTGCTACTCAATACTAGATGGCGCTAATGGCTTCATTATGGCGCGCAACAATAGTGTGGTTTTTATAGTATTTGGGAATGTTGTAGGTAATTAAAAATCAGTTTCCTACGTTGTTATTTTAAAGAAATATTACGTACGATATAAATTATTAGCATCTAAATATCTATATTTTTGACTAAGGTTCCTAGGATATATCAAACTGCACTCACCACTCTTGATGGTTGTCGACGAAAGCCGACATCGGAGAAACATGCACCGTGTAGGTATCGTTCGCGGAGTACTCGAACAGTCCATAATAAGGGTTGAACAGTTCCCGCGAGAGGAGGAAGAAGAACTCGCGGCTGGGACCTCCATAGTCCAAGCCCTCTTCGCCGTCCCAAAGCACGCATAACTTTCCCTTCTGGAGCTCCTTCTTGCCGCAAGACATAATGCGTCGGAAAGCGTCTTCGAGAAGGTGTTCGCGACGGATGTGCAATCTGAAATTTCGCGTAAGTTACAATTTGTAAATGTTTTATACTCCATATTCTTGCTTTATACGAAATCATAAACTATCTAATCTTCACCATCTGGATGCCTACGGGTCTACCAGAAGTGTTATTCCTCGCATAACTTCTTTGTGGAATATACTGGTCACCAGCATTTTTTACGGACTGATACGACCTTAAAAAATGTAGCCTATTCCTTTCTTAAAGCTGTTAACGCTCCTGTGCTTTCTTTGGAGTTGCAGCTATTGATAGGTGGCGGTGGTCAGTTACCATCAGGTAAGCCGCATGCTAGTTTTCCTTTTATCTTTAAAAAGTTGTTGCTTTGGATCATATACACACACATACATCCTCAATTAAGAATTTAATACCTGGTAGAGCCATGTTGCGGCTATATTAGTAGTATAGTTGTAGCACGAATGTGTCGGCTCGACTGGGGAAGGAAAGGACCACGCTCTTACATAATACGAGCGTCAAATAGTAGTCTTAATGCTGATGTGTTTCGTATGGTGAATGTAGAGAACCGGCGACCCTTTTTACCGGAAATGAGGCATTCCATCTTAGTCCTCACGGGTAACAACGCAACTGCATTTTGATTCGTAATCGAAGATAAATGTATATATCCATGGGTCACAGCAACCACTTACCATCAGGTGGACTGCGTGCTCGTTTCTCACCCTATCCTATAAATAAATACGTGGTTGAAAACTAAAATAGAATATCTCATTACCAGGTCTCATTTCTAAATAGCAGTATAGCGCATTATAGCAGCTTAAAATAGCACATAATGCTGCTAATGTAATAACGCGCGGCGCTTATCAACTCCTAACGGATATCTTGAAAAAACATAAGTAAGTTTTGTGGTGAACTTACTTTAAGTTTTTTATCCGTGGTGGAGCCACGCTGCAGCTATATTATGGTTGTAGCACGAACGAGTCGGCTCGACCGGGGAAGGACCACTATTTTTTACTGGAATCGAGGCATTCCATCTTAGTCGTCAAGGGTGACAATGCATCTGTGTTTTGATTCTTAATCCAGGATAAACGTGAAGAACCTACAGACTTGCTATTTTTACTATAGACAATATCTTTAAAGTTGTTTTTTAGTTGTTCACACATGCAGTTTTAATGATGGTAGGACTCTGCCTGGCTAGGTGCAACCCTCTTACCTATTGCCAGACCGGAATAGCAGTGCTAGCACTGTTCTGTGTTCCGGTCTGGAAAGGTTTAGAGAGACAGCATAATTAAAGAGTGTGAGGCATTCCATCTTGATCCTTAAAGGCAAAGACGCGTCTACACACTACAGTACAGCCACTTACTATCAGGTTCTTGTGCCCCTTCCGTTTTATATAAAGTAAACTTGTTTTGTAGTTTTGTACCTCCGTTTGGGACATTTTGATAGAATTCAATCAGCACTCCTATCGTTTATCGTAAGAGTCGATTGTGTAAAACAATAGATCATATAAAAAGAATCTCGTACATTTAAAAGAATACAGAGAACAGCAGCAGAAGCAGTGTCAACAACGAATGTAAACGTAATAAATATGAGCGCCATTATTGCAAATCCTCCCTAAAAACATCTCGTGTCCAGCATTGAACTGGAGATAAATTGATTGTGGAACTTACTTAAGTTTCCCGGGTCCCTGTCCGTAGCCTTTGCTTTCTAGCTTGCGATAGAAGGCCCTCAGCTTGGCCTCGAAGTCTCTGCGCTGCGGCGCTGGTGCGCGTGTGGAGCGCGCGGCCGCTGGGGACGCGGCCGGCGACGCGGTGTAGCTCCCGCACCCGCCAGCCGGCACGTAACTCATGATCTCCTGCTCGAACAGGCTGCAACAATAGACGGCATTTTATATAATCATATCTTATATTTATACAATTACTAAACATTAAATACAACAAAACTTTACAGATTTTGTTGCGTTTAATTTTAATGGATTTTACATATTATTTTTAATGTCCGACATTTCGGGTACTTTACGACATCGGGACGTCAAACAAATCAGTCCACTCGTAACCATGGATGCTGTAAATTACCCGAAAAGTCGGGAATTGAACAATAAGTAAAACCAGTTAAATTAACTGCGATAAAATTCATAAAAATGGTTTTATTCACTTTATATTTAAACAATAATTTCATATAATAACCTTAAAAAGTACTACTGCTAAGAATAAGTATTATTTTACTTTGGTTTATTTAAATGTATAGGATAGGAGACTCAGTTTATTAAGAAAAATCTATCTCAAAACTAGAGTCGTAATTTAAAGTTGTTTCTAACATCAAAAGTAGGACTAATAGTAGATTAATATTTTTCTAAGATATGTGGAAGTCTGTTAACATGTATTAAGAAAGTGCAGTGAATTCTTGCTGTCTTAAAACCCTATCAGTATATAGTCTATAGATTTGCTTATTTTTACTTTACATCTTAGTACTCAGAAGTGACAACGCAGTTGTATCTTATCTTATATTGTATTTATATTGTAAGCTTTGGGTGCAAGTGTCGATACTGTGCAATGCCATTTGGCTAAAGGAAATCTTACATTGCCAAATGAACTGTTAGATTTGTTAATCTCATCATCAACAATAACCTTTTTACATAATACATAGGCCTTACTACGGATGCAGGAGCTAGCGCTGGAAGTCCAGCCGCTGCCTATCAAGCTGAACAAGCGGTTTGAGGGGATACTCTCGAATTTGCCAAGAGGCATCATCTTCATCATTATACACTATCACAAATACACTGCTGAACATAGGTCTTCCCTACATATTGCTACAGGGCACGGTTCTGACTTCTGAGCATAGTCATAGCTACATATGTTAAGCCTTTTTGGCGAATTCCTTAATTAATTTTCTACTCCGTCGCTTACTACGGTTGCCGGTACAAGGTTGTCTCTGAAAGACCTTGCTTTCCCATTACATACGCTTGTTTAATTCGGATTTAAAAGATGTATTTAATTTGTTAAATATAATTGGGAAGGAAGGACATTATGCATTGTAATATTTTATTTCCCAACTCATTTATCTTGTATATCTCGCTAATTTCGCAATTTTCCAACAACAACCTTAAATTTAATAGCACTGAGTGTGAAAGTTTACTCCTCTGGTTACTAGAGCGTGGAGTGTTTATATTATGTTAGCGTGATGAGCGGCCTAGAAGCGTAAACCGTGCTAATGGCTAAGATTATGAGTATTGTGACCGTTTGTCGTGTTCCGAGTGGCATGGTCTTGACACATTTATTATTAATTTCAGATTAAAGCATTTTTTATCCATTCCAAAACCCTCTCAGAAAATGAGAGGAGGCCTTTGCCCAGCCGTGCGACGTATATAGGCTGTAACTTTAACTTTATCCACTTGTTATACCAGCGTATTTATTTTATGATTGGAACTTTAACCCTGGAACTTCCCGCTAATTTCAAATGCAAAGCGCTCCAAATTTAACCAAATTATGTTGCGAAATCTCGGAGTTATGTTAAAAAAAAAAGTTTTTTTTTCAAATTCTTTCTCCTTCGATATTTCACGAACGAATGAACCGATTTTTATTTTCCAAACGGCATTCGACGTCATTTTTATATGTTAAGAGCTGATTAGTTTTTGAAATCAATCGGTAATGCCATTTAAATATTATTTTAAAACAACAGTTTTTCAAAATTTTTATTTTTGAGATTTCTCATAATTTACTCGTCCGAATCAGTTCATATTATCACCAAATAAATCTATTTAAAAGGCCGCAAACCGCATTTCAATCGATCAAAACGTTCGAAAGTTATGAAAGGTTTACATACTTACACACACACACATACATACATACATCCGTACGGACGTCGAGAAAACATCGAGATCTGATGAAAACTCGATTTTCGAAAATCGGGGTGAAACCAATAACTTCCTTATTTTTGAAAATTTTCAATTTTCTTAGCGGGGAATTAAAAAATAATTTATAAGATTTATAAAATAACGTCCTTTAAAAACTCGTTATCTTTAAATATACATTCCATTACATAAATCGTGTTGTGGCGGTATACAGATATCCACTACATCTTATTGTCTCCTGGGCGTCGAAGGTGGTGATAGAGGGAAACAAGCCAGCCGGCATTGGCAGTAGTGACCACTAGAAAATAAAAATAAAAACTGTGGGTGCTAATCTGCCTGCCAGTCGTGGCAACTATGGCAAATATAGGGGATATTACGAAACAATTTATAGCGAGGCCTATGATCAACAGTTTACTTTGATGGGCTGCAAGTAGGGTCGCTAGGTCTTAAAACCGAAAATCCGGACAGACCAGTGAACTTAGCCGGACATTTTGTTAAAAAGGCCGGACATCTTTAATTTTTTAGTCTTAGTAAAATGACAATTTTTTTAAAAGTAAAGCAATGGTTTTTATCATTTACCAAACAAATCTTCTTGAATTCTAATGAAATTAATTGAATAAATCAGTCTTCTTTATTATTAATTAGTATATGTCAATATTCATTACAATATTAATTTCAATAATTGCTATAGTACTCGTATGTTATCACATGAAAAATGTAAAGAAATGGTCAAATTTAAAAAAGCCTAATAAAACCCGGAGAGGCGGGACACCGTCTAATTTGGCCAGACACGCAAACAAAAAGCCTATGTCCGGCTTTATCCGGACGCCTGGCAACGCTAGCTGCAAGGGTAACGTTTTCGGCGAGAGCTACATACGTTCTACGTTGACAACTGTTACGTGATGATGATGAGAGCCACTAATTATTTCCTTATGTTTTAGATTAATATTTATTTCATAACTCCTAAATTAATAACAAGAGCGTTTATTTTTAGATTACAATAATATTTTTAGTTAATTAGTTCATAATATGGCAACAATGATGACCACGATTATTTTGTGGAGGATATTACACACCAATGATTCTGTTAACTATTAATTATCTGATATAGAAATAAATAACGTGGTTTGTTTTTCAGATCTTTGAGATATGAGTTAATTAAAAGTAATAAACACTTCTTATGCTTTTGTCTCTGCTTATTTATATGGAATATTACATATTTTTAATTATTTGATGACTAATTAAATTTTTTTAATATTCCACAGAATATAATATTTTAAAAGACTATGATGACGTTCTTCTATTCTTAAACATAAAAATGCAAACAAAATATTAACTTTGCTGTATAATAATTGATACACTGCTGTAGAATTGCTATATGAAACTGTTTCTTCATATTTAATGAAATTTAGATTTTTGAAGATATTAAAAAAACATGCTAGGATTCGTATAATGATATTTATGAACTTGTGAAACGTTTGACGTGTAATTAGCGTTATTTATTATTCAATGGCGTCGTCGTAATGCAATTATATTCAATACAGTGGATGTGGGAATTAGGACAATACACGCGAAGCAAAGGAAATGCGCTGCAATCCCTGACAGAATATATAATTATTTTATTAAATATTCTATTACCACGTTTGTTGCTTGATTGGTAAAGGAAATATTAAAGGTAACGTTATAAGAATAATTTATTTCGTATTCAAATATTAAGTTAGGTCCTGTCCCAAAAATATTCTTGAAAAAGTTAGAAGACTAGGATTCGAATTATGATTTAAATAATACTCGATAGAATCCGTAAAAACTAGTATTATTCAAATGTGTAGTGTTCGCGTAAATATAAGAAATCATTATGATTTAAGTTGTTTTAATGACAACTACGAAGTCAGAAACAACGTAATAATAATGAAAAACTAAACAAAAACAACAAATAGACAAATAAAAAAGCCCACGCTGTTGTATAATACCGTTAAATGTATACCTGAATGAGAGGTAGGTCTGCAGTAGACAGAGATTAAGCGAAGATATAGTTTAGAATTACCCTTGGTTGTATTCATTAAACGCCTCCGGAGTTTAGGGCCTTTACACACTGAATGATAGTTCTGCTACGTAATATTTCGTTTCATTACAAATTACTCTATTACCAAGTTTAAATACTTAATAAAACCAAAACTCTATAAAAAGGGTTATTATAATACATATAAATAAATACATGGTATTATAAGCTATTTCTAAAATCAATTTCGTAACCGTAACCATTCACATTGTATCTGGTAATTACATGTAATCTATATTGAATAAAAAATTATTCAATTCTATTCATTCGTAAAAAATAAAAAATAATACGATTATTTTAAATTTAAATTATTTTGGCGACAATTTTAAACGTGGACAATTATCGTGTAGTGGCTGGCGATGTAGAAATATCCAGTACCCATATCCGCATCCTCATTCCACGGGTGTTGTAAAAGGCGGCTGAAGGAAAGTGGAACAGGATATGAGCGGCAACATCTTCCTGATAACAACACTATAAAAGTAAGTAACACAACATTATAAAAATTGCAGTCGTCAAACAACCTGCCAAGCATGGCACCTATGGCAAAATCACCCTATGAAGCACCGAGGCTATAATGGATGGATATATAATCATGTCATAGCATTTCTTGAAACATCATCAAAATTTAACACAATGCGCGTGTACCCTGACTCGTTTTCAAACTTTTGTACTGTGTAAAAAATGAATGTTCGGCAATAACAATATAACTGCCGATCCAGTTTTAACAAAAGTTAGGATTTGGTTTTTGGATAGAAGAAGGAAATATCAAGCTAGTTTTTAAATGTTTTCTATACAACTATTGCCACGGTAATTATTTCAACACAATTCACCTTTTTATAATGTAATAGTGACGAACAAGCTAACAATCTATGCTCCTGGACATCTGCAAGTAATTAGAAAAAAAAACGTTCGGCCAAGAGCGTGTCGGGCCACGCTCAGTGTAGGGTTCCGTAGTTTCCCGTCCGTCACAATAAGTGTTCCCACTTATGAGTTTAAAGGTGGGTATCCATTATGTTCGCGCTCCAGCAGCGCTCCGCGCTCCTGCAACTGCTCCCGGTAGTGGGTACTGTTGTTTCCATCAAAGTTCAAAATGATTTTCCTAGAAAGTCCTATCAAAAAATGATTCCCTATTCATTTTTAAATACCTTTCCAACAATATATCACACGTTAGGGTTGAAATTAAAAAAAAAGTCACTTCCCACTTTACATATAGGGGGGCTACCCTAATAACACATTTTTTTCCAATTTTTATTTTACCACTTTGTCGGCGCGATTGATACAACCATTGTGTGTGTGTGTGTTTGTACATATATAGTGATTGGTACCAAATTTCAGTTTTCTAGTGCTAACGGTCACAGAGATTAAGCGAGGACGGACAGACGGACAGACAGACATGGCGAAACTATAAGGGTTCCTAGTTGACTACGGAACCCTAAAAAAGAAAGCTACACACATACAAAAATTTCATAAAATCACTTACAGAAATATGTAATTGTGATTTTAATCAGATCACATGGTGCTTTGATGTAATGCAACCTTTATATAATTTACCAAATATCAACTCTCATCAAGGAATCCAAACCTTAATATGTTTGATGGTGAAAACCCACATCTTGTTATTATTGATGATACAATGACAGAGTCTGATGGAAGAATTATGGATATATTTTCAAAAGGTAATACCATCACACGTTGTAACCACTAA